TTCAGGTACCTCAACACTAACATTTGTAATTTCAGCCATTTGGAAAATGTTTTTCATAAGAATGTATTTGGCATTAAAATCTCCCTTTTCCCCTCACTCAAGGCCACGTCCAGCCAACTGAGTCAAACCTCTGACTTAATCCAAATGAAGTTTTGACTGAATAAAAGGTCCTGAATTAAGAGTTGAGAATAAAATGTGTTCTCTTATCATAGAACACAAGCTTTGCAAAAAGTCCCAGCTCCTGCTGGTGCTGGAAGGGTCATTTGACTCCTGTATGGACATATTTATTTAGGACACGTACCCTAGTGAGTCAGGAAGTTATGTAAAAACTGACCCAGTTAATTTTAGATGCTATTGTTGGAAGAATATCAATGAAAATTAATCAAATAGTCACGAAGGAACCACAGGGAAGGAGCACAGAACACTGGTGGGTAGAATTTTGGCAGAGATCATTACAACAGTTTTAATGAGAGGAAAACACATTCTCAAGTAAATTAGCGAGTAATGACATGATTAAATGGTAAATAATAGTTAAATACATGCTTGGAGGTCCAGGACAGAGACTGTGGAGTTTTTGTGTTTTGCATGTATTCCTTTCCAGGCTGCTCCAAGTATCCAGAGGAGCTCACCAGAACTCTGCCTGTAATTTAGGGTTGGGTTGTAGCTTTTAAGATACTGAAGCCAAAAGAGCTGTTGGGGCCCTGCTCTTGAGGCTGAGAAAGCTGAGGCTTTCTCCATAGCTCTAAAGCTTCGCCAACCTTTCAATTGTTGATTTGTCCTCGTTCCTTCACCAGCCGCCTCCAATGAGCAAGGGCCAGCACCACGGCTTTGTTCAGCCTGCCATCACCCAAAGAATGACTGTGCAGGAGACATCTGCTCTCCTTATGCACAGTGGTGGAGAGGGAAGGAGTCTCTTTTCTGCTGAGGCAGGTTTAGTCCCCACTAACTGGGTGTTTGCACATTTGCTGGCGAGCAAATTGAGTTGCATATATGACTGTTTATGCAAACACAGAGTGCTGTGGTGCTGGCTGGGAGTGCACCCCATCCATATGGTTCCTTTCCCTGGCTGCTGAGGAAAGGATGTGAAAAGAATAACATTCACAAGTTGTCTTCATTCTCAAATGTTTCTTTTACAAAATGGGAGGCTGTACATACAAACTCTGACTTGTTAGCTTCACTTCATCTAGCCGTAACACAACACATGGTTGTGTAATGAGTCTGTTGGAGGGGAACTGACCCAGATAAGAGGTATTTTACCTGCCTTCTGTTTCCCCCTTTCCATTTCAGGTACCTCAAAAACAACAAAACAAAACTGAAATAACTCTGGATTATCTTTTTATAGGGTTAAACATCTTTTCTTGGTTTTCAGTAAGAATAGGTAGAGTACAGTTGCTCCAGTGACTTTGGTCAAATGAGGCAGAAGCCTCACCCTTGCCATTCCTTGCTGCTTGGCAGAACTACAAAGAGTGTGTGGAGACCTTGTCTGTTATAAACAACAAAAAACCCCTGAGTCTTTACTAGGGCATCAGTCCACTAAAAGATGAATGGCTTGCTTAGATGGTAATTCAAGTGATTAGCACACTGTGTCCTTCAATAACAGCCTGACAGCTTGCTCAGTAGTATAATACAATATTCATTTTTTCTCTTCCTGCCTTTCTGCGATAGAATATTTTCTTACTTAAGTCTGAATATTATATCTCCTCCAATAATAGCACTGGAAGAGGAGAAAGGGTATAATTAAAAATTGCATGTTACTTTTGTTTTGAAAGTTTACATTTTTACTTTGAGGGCAAATAACAGGTCATATACTGTTATTTATGTCTCTAGTGCATAACATATTTAAAATGGTTACACTTTTAATCTAGTCTTTGCTTGAATGTACAGTTGTGCACCAACAGGTTTTTTTGTCCAAAAAATATAAAACAGTTGGTGAGTGGGAATTTCAGAATTAGTCAGTAGTGTTTTAATGTTGTTTCTTGTGGAAATCAAAGGTTAATCATAATATTTAATAGGATCATGGCAAATGAATGTTAAGTGCTTTTGCAAAGTTATACCCTGAATATCTAAATATGTGATCTGTGAAGGAAATAGGTACTTTTAAATTACAGAAATTATGAAAATAATAGTTGGCATAAAACCATTCTCACAATTTCCTGTCACACTGCATGAGCCTAATTTTAAAAAATGCTGCTACTTCTCTGAAGTACAAAGTCACTGAGTACATTTACAAGAAGATTTCAGCAGATACAGTAGAAGTGCCAAGAACTGCTGCTGATTTCTAGAAATTCATGAGAGTTGAAAGATCCAGGACTCAAAATGCTTATCTGACTCCTTTCTCACCTTAGAGTTGGCCAGTGCTTGATCTCTTTGTATCAGGGGAGATAATGGATTCTTTTAATGGTGCTTGTTACTATTTTCTTCTTGTTTTCCTTAATTATTTGGCATGAACTACAGCCCATCTTAAAACTATTATTTGACTGAGATTCCTTTCTTTCCATTTTCTTACTTCTGCACTCCAGGGGATTTCCTTGAGAAACTTATTATCTTTCCTAGGTTGCTGCAGTGACACAAGATCCAAGTTTCTTTATTAAGAATTTCCATAACTCATTCAGTCACCTGCAATGTTGGTACTGTTGGCTAAAGTCATTTCCTCACTTTCTAGCAAGTCCTTTACTTTCTCAGTACCTCAGTAAATACACTGAAGAAAGGCCCCATCATCTTAATTTGGCTTGGAAACACTTTTTCTTGTTACCGTGATCTCTATTAGGAAAGATGCTTTCTGTATGGCTCATTGCATCCTGATTCAGTCAGGGATGATTATTATAGCATTAATACTAGGAAAAACATTAGGAAACCAAGTAGACAAACTAATATTGTAACGATGTCTATGTGTTATGCTATGTGTGGTTGTCTAAAAGGAGAAAAAGGCATAGCAAGAGTCTTTACATTTATTACCACATATACCTCAGAAGATTACAATGTGGTGGTAGCAATATTTGCCGTCATAAAAAATTTTCAAAATGTGCAGAGGAAACATGATAGAGCTTTCTCTTCATAGAATCTGTATAACACAAAGGATAATGTTGTCTTAAAAGTGGTGTTGGATTCCTCACAGACCTAAAGAGTGAGTTACAGATGTGGGGAGCCTGTGTCTGTTCATTCTTCTTCATTTCCTCTAAATGCTGTATCTACGACTCGCTTTGCAGTCTTGGCACTCTCCTCTTATGAACCCACAGATCTCACGTGTAACATGCAGACAGAAATAAATCCAATAGGTAAAAGAAACTAGAAGTTGGCTAAAGATCAAAGGTTATCCTCATTCCACTCCTTCCTTCACTTTTATTATCCTGTCTAAATTTGGGTTTTTGTAGAGAGGATTGGGTGGGGGTTTTTTTGGTTTTGGTGTGTGTGTGTTTTGTTTTTTTTTTATTTCATGAGGAAAGGTTGAGTTTAAATGAGAGTTTAAGGTTTTATTTGTTTTTCAACCCTTTATGTAATTTAAACCACAGTGTAGTTACTTTGCTAGAATCAAGACTGCAGTACTTATAGGGTATAGAAGATTGTGCAGTGGCTCAAGGAAACAGTATTTCACCTCAAGTGTTCTGTGATCATCTATAGATGAAGTGGCGAGTAGAGGAGGTTTTGTTGGTTTGGGTTTTTTTGTCTGCACAGATAATCCAAATCTGGTATCACTAAAGTCCCTATTCTAAAAACAGTTGGATGTATGCTTAACAAAGTCCTAAAATATAAACTAAATTAAGCATAAGATTGATTGCTTGCCAGATCAAGCCTTAAATCTGTGTCTTGGAAAATTTGCTGGAAAATATGCTTGTAATTTTTAAAGTTCTTAATTTTCAATGGCCTTCTTCACTGGAACGTAGTAAAAAGATGTGGGTTTTCCTGTCTTTATAGAAGCCCAGGCTTTAGCAGGTACCTTCTAAGTGCTTTATATAAGGGTAGGAAATGCACTGGAATGAGAAGGGATGACCATCAGTAGAGCAACTAGTACAGACTAAGTGGAAAAGTTAAGAACAAGACATGATGTTTATTTAATGTCAATAGCTTCAAAACTTTATTTATCATTACTTGCTTAAAAGAGATTAAACAAAAACAATAGCTGTCCTAGGAAACTACCACAAAAATTCTTTCAAAAATCCTCACTCCAAATTGACACATTTCATGCAATTTTTCTTGTCATTAAAAATGTAATAAATTAATTTTACTTGAATCACAGATGAAAACTTTGTGGTAGTGTTTGTGTAGTTATAGATCACCACAGAAAATGAAGTACTATCATTTTTGGCTATGGTGTAGAGTTTCTTAGAACACTGTTGGTCAGGAATGAGGAATACTGGTAGAGATAGCTACAAAGTTCTGGACAGTTTCAACTTACACCAAAAACCTCGAATCAAAATAAGTGATCTAGTTGTTAGTGCTGCTTCCAAAAACACTTCAAGATGGAGCTAAGAGGTAACATATGTTTCCACTATCTTTCAGTCCATGGTTTTATATTCTGAAACCCCAAATACAAAGGAAGAAGCAATTTGTAAATAAAAAAAATATTTCATCATCTTATTTAAAAAAAAACCCCAATTATTTTTAATTATAGCACTATAGTTGAACTACAAATATAATTTTTCCTATCGATGATAAGTGACCAGAGTTATATCAGATCTCTCTAATGACATAGGTGTATGTCACACATATGCAAATAGCAAGAGAATCCAGGGTGATAACGGTTAATGAAGGTAAGAAGAGAGACAACCACATGTTTCAACTAATCTCCAGCAATGAGGGATCAGCATGAGTGACATTATCTCACATCTGCCTCCAAACCATCTGGTGTGGGCCATGGTCAGAAACAGGATACTGGACTAAGTAAATCCTATGCTCCCTGTACAATATTTGAGAGCCTTCTACGTTCTCATGCACCAGATGTGAAATATGCCTGTAACATCTATTCTGCTTTAATTATTTGCACTATTGTATTTGAATACTAGGTTTTGGTCACCTAACCAAGCAATTGCTGAAGTTAGCGGATGGCCGTGTTGTGCTGGCACTGGAGGGAGGACATGACCTTACCGCCATCTGTGATGCATCTGAAGCCTGTATAAACGCCCTTTTAGGAAATGAGGTAAAACATAAATCATACTAGGTGGAGAGAATGATCCAAGTTTGCTGAAGCTGCTATCTTTGATATTGTTTTAGTAACAATGGTGTCAGTCTTTTTTTCATTTGGCATAAAACCCATGGAATTTGAACATGTCTTAGAAATGAGCAGGCCTCAAATGAGCTGGTTTGGATAAATACCTCTAAATTGGATTTTTATACAAATCCTTTAGTATATGCCTAAATTATTCCCAGTTCTGAGTAATATTTAATACCTCCAAATTGCTTTTAGTGATGTGCTGAATACAAGACTTGACAACATTGTTAGTCATTGGTGTGCATATTATCTATTAGGAATGGACCTTTAAGCCATCTATTGTGGAAAAAAAAAAGTCTTTTGCAAAGTATCTGGTAATCTTAGGAACTAGATATTGCAAAGGCATATTTTTTTCAGTATTTTGACACGTAACTTTTGAAACATTGATAAAAATGTGTCAAAGATTAAAAAAAAAAATTAACTTAAAAGTGAAGATTCAGGTTGATCTCTCTGTAATTTAAATGAAGTTTCCAAGATTTTTCAAGCACTGTATATATTATTTAACAACTTTTGAGAGGAGACTGTAAGACTAAGTAAATATGAGTATGTGCCATTTATGTACACAAATGCAAGATAAGCATTCATATTAGTGAATTTTTTTCTGCTTTCCACTAGAAAATAGCTTTTCTTCTATAGATATGCTGAGAAGGAAGACAAACTTGCTGAACGTGCAGCCAAAATAATTTATGAAGGGACAAAAGCCTTTACCATAAATTGTGAATTTTGCAAGATCTTGTTATAAAGTACAGTGTGTTACCTTTTTTTTTTCCCCTCTGGGGAAGTGTTAATAGCTATGTAATCCATCCAATCAAATGTATTAGTGCCAAATTGCAAGCTAGTCTACCAGTTCCCTTCCAGTTCAAGACTTCATACCTATGTGAATAAGGTGAAATAACATATCTTCTAATGGATGTTGAATAGAAAGATTTTCTTAGTGTTCTTTTCAACCTTTGCTTTTCATCTTTATGACACATCAAGAACAATATTTTAATGCTTATTATTTTTTACGTTATACATACAATGACTAAAGTGTTAGCTTCTTCAAAGATAGTCTCAGAAATGTAAACACCAAAAAAAAAAAAAAAGGAGAAAAAAAGCTTTTGTTGGGTTTTATCTGCTGTCACCTTTGACAAGCTCCACAAGGAAAGTTTTCCAGTGTGGTGCTATGTGCTACTGAAAAAGCCACTCAGCTGAAATATGGATTCTGCAACCCAGTTTGAAGCATTTGACAATCTTAGTTAATGCAACATTGCCTTCCTGATTAGCTGCCATGCCAGAGCACTCTTATTGATAGTTCTGTTGTCATCTTCCCTAGGAGAGTAACTTATAACATCAGTGGCTTTTCATAGCCCTTCTAAACTCATTCCTTGAAATTTGCACCCTTTTGGGGCTAATGCGAATGGTACGATGCTGATGATGTGATGTGTCCTCCTATGTGTAGGTGCCTGGGTCCCTCTATTCAGTTGTGACCATTTGGTGGTGCTACCCATTTATGAAAACTGCCTTATTTTGTTTTAACACTGTATCACACCCAACTATTTCTGCTGTCACTGAAATTATCCAAGATAAAATACTGATTGTGAGAAAAAGGAATTGGATAAGTGTACTGGAATAAAGACTTTCTTCCATTTTAGAGTAATTAGAGACCAGGAAATTAGATAAATTGTGAGTCTATCTGTTTGCAAAATATAGCAAAGTAAATTTTGGGAGAGACAAAAATTCACTAGCTGAGAATGAAGACAGAAATAACTGTGCAGCCATTTTTAATTCACTTGTAAAAGAACATGTTCCTTAATAACTTGGGATATCTCATGGAATAAGCATTATTCTGATGTGCTCTTACAGCATTTTCTTCTGGGACACGCATCAAATGGTCTGGTGCAGCATAATTTCAAAGACACAATGTGCTATGGCTGCTAAGAAGAGAAAAGCACTCCAGAGAGGATGTTTTTACCAAGACTACCATAAGAAACTGTCATTGACTTAAAAGAATAAGTAAAGGTGTTACCAAGGAGCAGACATTAATGAGGAAGTCTGATACCTAGTTAGCGGTTAGAAATCAGCACATCTGTTGACATCTATAGATTTATGGCAGTATCCACCACATGGCCCACAGCATATACATTGCTTGATTTCAGCATACTGTTCATGAACTTGCACAGCAAATTCCAAGCATGTTCTGCTCAGGACAGAAAAAAACTTTTTTCTTTAAACAACCAATTACTGTAATTTGTGGATGCATTCTTCCCTGAATGCAATTCTTTACAGGTGATTAATAGGATAATTAGAACCTATTATCTGCCTTCACTTTTACAAACAGTGGTATGTAGTGCAACCCTAATTTAAAAACATTGGCAAGATGAACTTCAGTTCTAAACACTACACATATAATTGAACTCAAATTAGAAAGGTTGGGAAAAGCCTTTGTGAGGTACCCTGCAGTTTGTCAGATGTATTTATTCATGTGCTGAGGATTAGAATTCATAAACATTTTGCAGAGCTTTTTGAAAACTTTTTCTTTTGTTTTGTTGGTTTTGGCCAGGACTTGTCAATACAAAAATCCACTGTGTCATATGTTCTATTACCAGTAGAATAACATTTTTTAAAAAAACGGTAAAACCAGCCACAACTTCCAACTTTCATGGAGCACTGGTCTGATATATAGAGGTAATATCAAATTTGCAAGTCCAAAATGCTTTCTTAATTTCTCTCTGAGCACCAAGAAGAAAAACAGTTTGACATCCAAAATACATAAATTTTGTTCTTGTTTATGTATGGCTTATAGCTTAGTGATTTTTTCAGCAAGACAACTTCTCAATCTTCTCTTAAAAAAATGTGAGTGAAGACACTAGGAAAAGAATGCCCTATCAAATTAATCTTCTTTAAATAATTGGAGCATGAAAGGACTTAAGAATTAATGTAGAACTTAGAAGAGATCCACACCCTTTCCGATCAGCAGCTGGAAAGCAGGCAAGACACCCTATAGTATCTAAAATGGCTGTATCTAGTTTGGTTGTGTGATTCCCTCCCTAAATAATGAGCAAATTAAAAAGGAAATTAAAGAATTAAAGTTAAGGATAAATTTTATAAAGATAAATTATTAATTATAAAGTTTACATATAAAATTACTTTTAAAATATTTTGATATCTTAGGTTTTTCTCTCCATGCTTCTGTCTACAGAAAATTTCCATGTCACTTCAAGAAAAATCCATTTGACCATTTGCAGAGCTAATTAGGAGCACTGTAGGTTATCTCCTTGGAAGGAAATCTTCCTAAGAGGTGAGAAGAGATTAAGCAGTTGGATTCCCTTGAAATCCAAAATGTAAACATGGAAAACCTTCTGGAAGGTGAAAAAGCAAGATGAGCATCAGTTGCCTTAAACTAGTCCTGAATTTTCTCAACATGATTTGTGAACTTGTCCATTAAAAGAGCATCTGTCAAAACAAAGGAAAAGATAGATTCAGATAATTGCAAAAAAGACGTTGCTTTTAAACATAAGCATTTCTGAGATTATGATATACACGCTTAAAATTAATTATTTCATTTATCTACAGTTTTTCAGAGATTGGTTATATAGTTTTAAATACTCATTTTTAAGTGTATATAGTATACATATTACTTCAATTAAGAAAACCATTAAATTTTAGGATTTGTATCTTATTCCAAGAGGTTTGTGAAAATTGGGTTGAATATTGAGATTTTCCCCCAAAATCTTCGTTGCAGAGTGTGGAAGTTCCACACTATTTTGTCGATCCTAGCTTTGGTGCTATAAGACCTCTGCTATGACTTTTGGTGTCAGGTGGTGGTGAGTGAGGCTTCTCTAGACATGCAAGGATAGGATCTGCTTTCTTTCCTCCACATTACTTTTGAAGAGTCATTATTTGGATCTAAAAAGTCCTTGGGCTTAAGTTTTCCTTGAGATCAGTATGCTAAATCCTGCATCTTATTTCCAATATAACTGCATTCAGGTAGGGACTTTTCTGCAGACAGAAAGAGTAAGGAAGGATTTCTTCAAACACAAAACTCTTTGTGTCAAAAACTACGGATTTAGCTCTTCCTTCATCCCATCCCTTTTCAAGCAGCCAGGTGTGATATTTCCATGGGACACAGAAGTCAGTCTAGCATCATGGTCCCTCTGGTCTGTCTCTAGGTTTGGGCAGTGTCTCTTAGCTCTCTGTCGTACAGCAGTTTGCTGTGGTCTATAACAAGTGATAATTAGTCACAGGCGGGGTCATGCTCTTCTTTGCACAGAGGAAGCAGAGAAGTGCAGTCCACAGTGTGCTCTGCCCAGCGGGACCCTGCAACAAAGGCACAGAGAGGATGCATGTCTGTTCTCATTGACTGTGGCGGCCAACGCTGAATTTGGCCCTAAGTGTGAAAACATTTTTAAGTGACTAAATTTAACATCTTCTAGTAAATATTCTTCTGGCTTGAATTTCAGTCTGAAGCAGAATTTGACAAAACATTGTGATTGGTTGGCTCCCAAGCATGCTTGAAAACTTACACCGGACAATTTTCTTGCAGAGTGTGAAGTATGTGCTTCTTTCTTGCAATCTGTTGAGCTGGCATTTAGGAGGGGATGGTAATTTAAGTGGAAAGCTCGTACTCTGCAGCTTTCCTGCTGATGATGAAAAGTTGGAGTTTTCTTCTTTGTGGAATTCAGTGTGAATCTGGGACTGCTTGCCAGCTAGGCAGCGAGTTCTGCCAAGAGGTCCTGGACTTCATTAAAAGAGGTTATTTACCAGAACAGGTAAGCATTCCTCTCTTCAAAATGGAAATATTCACGGAAATGAATATGATCTGAGATGAATTTTAAATTGCATGGTAAACTTTCTCACAATCTCACATCCTCATTGTTAATCTGAGCCTAATAGTAGAAAATAATTAAAACTGAGTCTGAGGCAACTGTCAACTGCTGTTGGCATAAACCCAGAGTATAGAAAGAAAGATTTTGATGGGATAGGAAACTGGAGCAATGTATGTGCCAGAGGTCAGCGTGGTGACATCAAAGTTCCCAAGGTGGGCAGTGCTAGTCAGTGAGTACTTTGGCTGAGGAAACAGAATATTCTGATTCCAAAGTTACATAATGCCAAGGCATCACTTATTTTTCAGGGACTGATAGGTACTAATGACCCGTTGTATTTTTGAACTTACTCCCTGCTGAAATGTGTTTTGTTTATATACTACATTGTAACAGTGGATCACAAAAATACCCGCCTGAAGTGTTTTATGTGTAATCAGAGAGTGCAGTAACTTTGAGAAGATTGCTTATACAAGAACATATAATATGGAGGACCTGTGAGATCTTCTAAATTAGTCCTCTGTACTCATAGCCAACTTTAAGAGCAACAAAGCTCAGTCTTTGTGCTGATATGCTTTTTACACAGTGTAACCAGAAGAGGGTGGTTGTAGCGCTTCCCCCTGCAACCCTGGCATCCCTGAGGAGCCCGTTTGCCTTCTCCCCTTTCTCTGCTTCTGGCAGGACTCTCCATGCTTCTTACCTTATGCTTGCACTTGCCTCATTTGTCAGTAATCTCTAGCTGCAACAATATTCACTGAAGCTAATCTTGGTGCTTTAAAACATGACAGTGCTAAGGACTGTGCGGATATTGCTAGAATTTTCAGCTCAGTACAGACTGCTGTAGTTTCAAATTCTCTCTGCGTTCCCCAGGATCAATTCAGATCCCTTTCTGGGCACATAAAATTTCCGTCATTAATTCCTTCTTCAAACATTTGTTGATATGCCTCTGGTAGATTTAGGCAGCCCAAGTGATTTTTGCCCATTTACATTGTTTTTCCTCTTTTGAAAATGATTAGTGGGCACAGTTTCTACTTTCATCTGCTACTTTGGGCACAAAAGCCCAATTCAGCCACATATAAGCTTTGGAAATGTGACCCTTTGTGACTGATCTAAACTGCCTGTACCGTGGTTTGGTTATTTCTGCAGACTTGAGCTGTTCTTCTCTGAAAGATTTCTTTCCTGATGGTATATTTCCAGTGCTCTTTTCAGCTTTCTTCCTGTTAGCCTCTAGATTTAATACACTTCATGGTCTGAATGCCAGTAAGAGTAGGAGGGAAGGTGATGCTGCCATATATGCCAGGTGTAGAGTGATTTCTTTTGTTCGGTGTTGGGTCTAACTGCTGATATTTTCCAGGGACACCTCTACATCTATACAGTTGTATCCAACCAGTGGATAACTGCCAACAGAAATCATTCTTTTGAATGCAGACAGTCTCATTTCAAAGTGTGTAGAAATAGCTGACATAACCCACTGTCTTTATTTCTGCAGTGTTTTTGTAACGGTACTGCATTTTGGGCTGAGCAGGGTATATGATGTAATGAACTTTCTTGTGGAGCCTGATAAAGTTGCCCTGATATGAAAGAAGGTCTTAGGTCTGTCAGGCTATCCTTAAGAGTGAGGAGACAGAATAGCTCAGGAATCTGCTTCAGCCAAGCTTGATATAGAAAATGAAATTTTTGTGGAAAAAAGAGTTGAGGAAATGATCAAACATAACCATTATACTCACATCACCTACAAATCTGTTAGTAGAGCTTACAGACGGAGTAATGATTGGGAGAAGTATTGAATGTTTTACTCTTTCTTTAAGGATTCATCAGCTTTAAGGATTCATGTTGATTTCTAAAAACACAGCTGCCATTTCTAAATATTCACCTGATATGTCTAGATATTCAAGTGCAGCCTACTTAATAAAAAAATTATTTCTATACTGATAAATAAAGAGATGAGTTTTATAGATTAAGAAATATCAAACCTTCTTTTTTTTCTTTTGGGTCCTGCAAAAATCCTACTCTAAAGAGGGCATCAAAATATCCACCTTTTACCAGAAAATCTCCTCTAACTGTATCTGCATCAGTTGTTCCCAGCTTAATACTTAGTACAAAAGGTCTGCGTAAAGAATCTTGAGGTATTGAAAGGGAAAAGCAAGACACAGCTCTCACATATTGCAGTCTGGCAATTCCATAACTTTTACTATTATTCCTACTGCTATAGGTTGGAGCTATTTTGTTCTGTTTCAGGGAAGTGAATTGGTCATCAAAGCCTTAGGAACTAGGAAATTGTCAAAACAGAACCATAAACTACTGTTTGCTTCCCCTTATGTGTTCCTGTAACCAACACAACTAAACAGACCTTCAGTTTTGTACTCTTCCTGGACAAATGATAGATTACTTTGAACAGAAAATGACTAGTGAAAAAGCAAATGCTATTTATCAAGGTATAGATCATTGGTTTAAAATCTATAAAGCTTGATCTGTTGGTGGGCATTTTTGCAGATACAGAGTTTCCCCACAGGCACCTGCAAGAGTTACCAAATAGAGTAACCTATGAAGATCATAAAGGAAATGTGGTTCAAGAATTGCAAATGTATCTGTAAATATTATTTGTATTGTAATTGCTGCCTTTGTTCTAATCCACGATGCATATTAGATAGTAACAATCTTCCTTTGCACGTTGGCCTCTTTGGTAAAAGGTAGAGCTGGGACCCAGTCAGGTCCAACCAGCACTTCTCTGCACACTTGTTCACTGTGCAGAATGGAATAATTTATGCTATTTGAAAACAAAACATAGTGCTATTGTTTCTAGCCATAAGAAAGTCTTCCAGCTGCAATGCCATATGGACTTCTAAGGCAATAATGACATGAACAGTCCTGTTCATTTTAGTTACCAAGACTCCAAAAGACTGGTGATATTTGCAATGTCTTTATTGCTGACAGGCATTCACTGCTGATTGTAACAGCAGGATCCCAGAAGTTCTGGGATTTGTAGCTGAGCTTGCTTAAAATAGCACCACTAAGGGAGTATCCACACTGCAGTTACTTTCCACTTTATTTGCTTGGATCAAAGTTGATTTTATCTTGTTGGTGAGTAGCAATGCAGCAGTAGCAATCTGAAGGACAATATATGATGGCTACTGAACTATTAACTTCACAGAGGAAGCTCCTTGGGTGGGCTTCACTTGACCTAGTTTAAAATAGACCCAGGCATGCTTAAGAAAGGAGTTTTGTCTGCAGTACAGATGTCTCCTGTCAACGGTGGTTGAACTTTCTTAGCTTTAGAGAGGAGAGATTGGTATTGATAATGCTCTTTTTGGTCCACCTTGACACAGTTGCTACTCCTCAGGAAGCACGCCTGCACACTCAGCCGTGGCAGCCTATGTGGGGAAGCAGAAAAAGTGGCTGGATTCTAAGCATAGTTCAAGGAGAATATAGTTGTTAGAGTGAAAGAAGAAACATTTAGCCTAAACAAATTTTTAACCTTTTTCTAGGAGAAAATGTGTGGAGGGTGGATAAAAAAATCTCACGTGAGTGAATTTCAAAATACAGTTTGCTTGGTATATCTATCCATTTCAGGACAAAAATAACTGTGCAGTAGCTGAACACTTTGTGCTAATGCAGCCCTACTCAAAGAATGTACAATTAAAACTGGCTAATTAAAATGCAGCTGATTCTATAAAAAATTTACTTAGAGAACTCTTACTGTTGATCTGCATAACCCTTTTTTATCTACTGCTGTATTTGAAATTAATGTAAAGTTAGTAAAAGCAGCTGTGTTTTATGGTTTCCCCCTATAAACCTTAAAATGTGTAAGATGGTTAGATGTAATAACACCAGAAAAATAAAGATAATAGAGTGCACACTTTGGTTCCAGTGCGGCTTCAGCAAGGTTTTGTTTGGAGTGCCCAGCTGCGTATACAGACGCAGTGGAATTTGGTTTGTGAGGAACCTACAAAAATTACACAAATAACTAGCATTTTTTTAATGAATAATACACAGACATGCACCTGCTTCAGAGACTCCATAGATTAGTCTTGCAGCCAATAGAAAAGCCCCTTGGAATTCAATTACATGGCTGGAAAACAGAAAACAAAATCATGGCTATACATTTAGAACTGATATCAGCAAAATGTTAACCAGTTCTTGGGCTGAGTTTTTCCTGAGGATTAGGTTGTTTCAGTTTGTTTTATGTCTCTGTGGCTTATTGAATATTTATATTATTCTATTCTATTCTTTCAGCTGGAGCCTCTCCCGGAAGATGTTGTTCACCAAATCCCCAATATGAATGCAATAGCTTCTTTGAAAAAGACCACTGAAATTCAAAGTATGTTTCTCAGTTTGAGTTGGTGGGTTAGTGGGTTTGGATTAATTTTTTTATTATTAATTAATGTCATAGACATTATTGTTTCAGAGAAAAAAAGTGGGCAAATGTTTTATTTATAAACTGACATGTTGTGTCTAATATATGTATATGTATGCTTTTATTTTTGTTTCTTTGACATCTCTTTGTTTCTGCTATGTATTTATCCTTAAAAAAACTAACACACTAAAATTATTTAGAGATTTCTGATTCCTGAATATTCCCAAATCTTTTTATTCCAGAGCAGCTTGAATGAAACAAATGCTGGTCAGTGAGGGACAAGAACAGACAAGTAAACTAGAACTCTAACAAATAGTTTCTTCAGATTCTGTTTGTGCTGCTCTTTACAAGGTACTCACTTTGAGATGCATAGGAGCTTGAGATAAAACTAAAAAGCTCAACATGGGCGCTGATCCATGCAAGAATACTAAAAAATACATTATTCTGTTTCTGGTGCAGAGGGTACGTTATAGCTTCACTTTTGTGCCCTGACCCTAATCCTTTATTACCCAGATGCTTCAGGGCATTTGCTTACTGAAGAACTTTCTCTATGCCATAAGTTGCTTAATCCAACTGAGCACACTTCCCTTAAGTTCTCTCACCTTCTGTTCTCTGCCATTTCACCGAGGCAGTGGGAGCTTCCTGACTTCTAATGTTTGCTGGCTCCTTAACAATAAAAAATGGATAACAAATGGTCTTCTTCATGTTAGATGAATCACAAATAATTGGGATTCATCTACATAAAATAAATTCAGTTTTTAAAAGGGACACCATACATTATCCACTGATCATGCAGTACTTTTCAATCTGATTTGAGTTGTAAAGTGACAAAGAAAATTCATTGTAGGCATATAATTCATCCTTCATATCCAGTAGATACCTATATATGCAAATGCTCTAAGTAAATCAGCTTTTTATTATATATTCCAGTAAATCCTTTTTACTGAGGGGTATGTCCTAGTGTGTCTCATGAGTTAAAATTCCATGTTAGTAATCTGTTAATGATCTGGTAGGAGTCAGCAAGTTAAGGTGACTCATGTACTGTGCAAGATAGAAAAGATTTTCAATTTATAGTAAGGACAGAATGCTGCACACAGGCCACAGACATGAGGAAAGAAGATGCAATTCTGTTTAAAATAAGACGTACTTAACAGAAAATGCATCTGAAGCCAAAAAAGGGTGAATTGAGAAACAAACAAAAAAATGGCTCTAGAAAGGCACAGTGTCTTTACTAGAAACACACACAAATGATGGCAATTGAGAGAGAAGGGGTGGATTTAGGAACAAATATATAGTGTAAGTCTGAAAACATAGTCCAGAGCTCTGCAGAGTGACTTAATTTTGCCACACTTAGGTTTGAGCTGAACCAGTACAGTCCTGCAGTCCAGTGGGCTGTTCTTCGTAAACGTAAGTCTGGCTGCTTGGGGTTTGGACCTATTGATACTCAATATTCTGCCTTTTCTTGCAGATATTACCTAAAAAGTTATGTGTACCTTGTTTTGTCTGGAAAGAGACCAAGTATTAGAAAGGAATATGCTTGGATGACAGAAAGGGGCTCTGAGGAAGTTCAGTGTAGCTTTATGGATGATTCATATTTAGATCTAACTAAGAGAAGCAAGTGTATGTGGAATATTATGGGGAGTTATGCAGCCCAGAGAGCATTAGGCTGTGAAATAGCACCTGAAGAGATACTGAGAAAACCTGATTTGTTTGGATCTTTGTTTGCGTGTATATTGGGTTTGTTTTTCTGTGATCTAACTTTCATAATGAATGTTAGCAATATTTTAGTCCAAGTAAGTCCCTCCTCTGTGCTCTTTGCAAAAAATTGAGGCTACAATACTTAGAAAATAAGAAACAACTTTTTTCTAACTAAAATAGAATTTGTATAAGTGTTTTGTATGTGACAGTGATCCAGAGATCGTTTGGAAATTTAATACATTTGGAAATAGCAGTTCCCACACTCATGTAATATGCTATTTCTAAACAATCCTGTTGAATACCACCCCCAAACACTTTTTTTTCAAGCAAGCCATGGTATGGCATGTCCAAATCTGTCTATGAAAGGCAATTACAAATGCCTGTAACAGTGACAGAAACATTCCCTTTTATTATTTCCTGGTAATAATCAGTGCTCCCACAAATCTTTGAGGGAGACTTAAGCACATTTTCATGCTGAAAGCCAAAGCATACCTAGAAGACTGATTTGGTTTCATTGTTTTTTTCTTGCAAGCCGTGATTGCTCATGTTTTGTATGAATGAAACCAGCAGCATGCTTCATTCTTTCCCCTGAGTTCCACCAAGTTCTTCTCAATGAATGTAACAGGACCGGTAGAATTTCACATTCCAGTAGAGAACAGCAGAAATGGCATTTTCAGAGATGTGAGCAATTTGAGGCAGATGCTTTTTGAGCTCATTTAATTGTCAATCCACAACATACCTAGAACTTGTAACAAAGCTCCTTTGCAGCTGCATGCTGTGATTGCCTCTCCATTCCACAACACCTTGCCGGCAAATCTTTCAGCTGAACACAGATTCAAGGCCTGTAGGTTTTGTGTACAACACATAAATGTTGTCCCAGATAAAAAGGAGCTTGCAGAGCTGTTCTGCTTACCCCAGGTGTTTGTAAAGTAGAGTTTTCTGACTATAAAGAAAAACCTCTTGTTGCTTTTTCACAAGCATCGCAAAGCTCTCTTTGCATGAGGTACCTGCTGCTACCTGGATGCTGTTCCTAACTGGGACTGCTTTAAAATTTCCTCCCACAAAACCACAAACACCTTGCCACGTACTTCCTTTCTCCAGGACCCTCCACTGCAGTATAGGTGCTGCCACCTGCCTCCTGGCCTGACTTTACTCTCTTTCTTTATCACTGAAGCCCCTCTCATAATTCTCAATGCATGGAAACAAGGAAAATCACCAATCACATGGCAGTGAAGGGCAGTTAAATGGGCACAGAGAGCCCACTAATATGCTTGAATTGGCCCTGAGTTTAATGTTACAAGAAAGTCAGGATTCAGGGGGCAGCTGGTGTGTGAGCCTGTGTGTGAATGAACGAATGTGATGTAGCAGTCCTCACTGATGCTGTTTTATTGTTGCTGCAGGAGAGCAACACAGTGGTAGCTGGGTACTAATATTTTATTTTATGAATAAGAGCCCTTGAAAACTCCAGCAGTGAACATGGGTTCATTTCTTTTATAGGCAAGAGGGGGTATTATTCCCATGCCAACAGATTTGATTTTCTTGCACATCTGTTTCTGCAACAAAACCCCCACCCACTCTGTGAACATTTAGCTCATAAATTATAGGGTTTGAATTGGGTGTATATTGCAAAGACTGACTTTTGCACATATGATCTGTGAGAACATTGTGGAATGCTCATATAACTTTTTTGTTTGTTTTTAGTGTATTTTTTAATGAATAGAGAATATGGTCTCTGAGCACAGTAATAATAGAGAATATTTTTGTCTTGTATTTATAAAATTTGCCAGGCTCCAATCATTGAGCCTACTGTTATGTACATAACTTTTTAGCTCTGTCTTTCATGTTTTTGGAGCAAAGCCAAACTCCTAACACTTAATCTCAACTTTGTAGGATACTTAATACACTTTACATTTTATCCCCAGAAGGTCCCCGTTATTTAAAGATTCTGCTAACTACTCAAACGTGCACACTATTAGAGTTCAAAGAAACACTCTGGCCATGCTCACTGGTTGTTCTTGAAGATTGACTTGGGCTTTCATCTTGCAATGATGTTTTTGAATAAAGACATTTTCAGGCTTTATTGACAGCTGCTTTCTCACTGGAGGGAAAAGTTCATCTTTCCAAAAACCTGAAACTGTGTGTTGAGAGCTGTGTTACCAAAGAAGTGGTTTTCAGCAGCCTGTGTGCAGCACAGGCAGCACCATTGCTGGCCTGGCCTCCCAGCTGTCAAAGCCTCCAACTACCCTCTGGATAAGCACCTCAGCTCAGCCCACTGCCCAGCTGCCAAAATCCTCCTTTTAGTCCTCGGAAAAGTCCCCTACTTGATCCCCACTCTTTCACAGCTGTTGAAACCCTCTGTCTAATTCCCAGATAAGTACCCTGATCCAACCTCTGCAGCAGCTGCTGAAAGCTTCTTGCTAAACACTGAATAAGCTCTGGTCCAGACTTCCCAAAGCTCCTAATTCCCAGGTGTCATCCACCTGGCAATTAGAGAGCACTCAGTGTTTTGCTGGACTATAAGAAATATATATGTAAATTCTTACTTGTTCATATGGCTATCAATAATCAACCTATTTTTTAATAGCCCTGCAGTAGCAGACAATTTTATATGTTGAGAATGAGTCACCTGCCGTTATTGTTTGTGTCTCTTGAGGACCTTCTTCCGTTGCAGGCAGAAAGCTGAAAATATTCATGTTTTTAATCCAACGCTGTGTTTTTACACAGCAAATTTTACGCAGCAAACCAGAAGTCTCTATTCCTTGTGATACCTGGCAGCTTTCCAGCAACAGCCAGTTCATATATGAAAGTTTTAAATAAATTATTGTTCTAGTATACGCCCTGAGGTTGGAGGAGAAAGAACATCCAGGACTAACAAACCTGATTGTTCTGGCAACACCACTTCAGTCCGAGCTGGCATTTCTGACTTTTTTCCTTTTCAAGACGGTGCTGTGTGAGCACTTTGTACAATAATGTGCATTTTTCTACATTTTGCTGTGTATGCATCAACTTTCTGCCATATGAGAGCTTCTAGTTATTAGCCCTGCTCTGAACTCTCTTCACCTTGCGTAGATAAAGGTGATAGCCTGCCTGACAATCTGTGTTCATTAGTCTGTGTGTTACTCCTCCAGTTTATTACCTTCTGGGGAAGGGTGTGACACAGCCTTTGGAATGAAAGCACTTTCCAACTTGGCATTCCTAGGTTCAGAAATATATGTCTTCACTGCAGTCTGAAATTTCAACTGTACTGCTTACACCACAGTGATTTTAAATTATAATCACTCAGTGTTGAACTAACTGATTACCGTGCTTGTACCACCATGCTAGCTAAAATTCCCATAAATTATTATGTGTGTTTTCCTTAGGCAAGTACTGGAAGTCAGTGGAGCCATACTCTGTGCCAGTGGACTGTGCTCTGGCTGAGTCTCAGCAACAAGAGAGGGAGGAGACAGAAACGGTATCTGCTATGGCCTCTCTTTCAGTGGATGTTGAGCAGTGTATCCCTCAGGAAGGCAGCAGGTAAGTGTATGAAATCATTAGAGAGAACAAGCCTTTTGCTCCAGCCAAGTGAGATGAAGAAATAGATAGACTAGGCTTGCTTCAAAATTATCTGCTGATTGAGATACTGGAAATTTTCATCCCTGGATTTGAGTACTCTCACTTGGCCTCTGGAAGCAGAGGTATTCTGTGCAAGCAGTTTTGGTTAGGTTTTTTTTGATGTGTCTGTTTCTTCACTAAAGCTCATGATTAGTACAAGGACCTTGTTTTCTTCCCATGTCTGATGCTCACTGGTGCATAAAAAGTGCAATATCCATATGAGGTAAATAGACATGATCAAATGTAATCAACCATATTCTTTTCTCATTGGAAGCTTTTCAAATCTGTTTTAGTTTTCATTTTCTAGGAAGGTATTTAACACACAGATAAATTTAATAAGAATGGACTTAAATCATTATTAAATTATATTAGACAGGCATTAAAAGTTACTTCCCTGGAAGCAGTGGAACAGTGCCAGTATAAAACTTAAACCAATCTTGACAAGGATTAGGGCCAACATTTTCTGTGTACCAAGATGAAGGTAGACCGGCAAAGAATGAGAACACTGTTTTTTCCAGCTTGTCATCTGCTTTTTACATTAATGAAGATTGTTTTCAATTTCCAAATTGAGAAAATGGTACAGTAAGTGCTGTTGTGTTTTTTGCCAATTACAAAAGAAAAGAAAAATGGATAGTCACTGAATACTGTGTCATCTACAATCAGAAAAGTCACTGCAGAAGTTTTTGGAATTTCCTATTTTTTCATTTTAAGGACAAACATTCCTAGTCTTCACCAGTAGAGAAAGACCCAAAATGTAGTGGAACCATTCAGTTTCCATCACAAAGTAAAAACAGGAGGGAGAAGGAAAGATGAAAAAAGCCTTATAAGGAGACTCATCGGCTCCCTGAAGGGTATGGAGCAGAGATGTAGCAACAGAAGAGAAAGGAGGGAGCTGTGGGTAGGCAGAGCAGTGATGGGAATGGAGCCAGAAGGGTCCATGACTCCTACATTGTGACAGCTTCTTATTTAAATAAATTCTTCTTGTTTGCTTCGGTTCTTGCCTCCCACGTTGGATCTTTTAATCAGAACTGAACTGATAGGCACCCGGGGGATTAGTGGAGTGCTCAAAGCTATGGATGTGTTTGGGAGCGAACATCTCTTACAACAGTGGGAATGCTCTTCTGTCAATGAGTTGAGAGGCACAGCTCAAAGGGAGACACAGGGAGAAGAGCTAGCTAGTAAAGTTCACAGTATTTTCATAATTACCTTTCCAATTGTAATTGTAGTTTTAATATTCTGTAGCTATTCTTGTGCTAGTATTATTACAAACAAATTCACAAAAGCTTAGAGAGGAATCCATGATGAACACAAGATGTATTTTAGATTTGTGACTGTGCTAATCAGTGCTCAGCTAAGGAATAATGTAAGAGTTTCCATATAAATTTCTAACAGTTATGAGACACTTCTGCTACCTAGGGACAGAAAGGTACATACGTGTTGCATAGCTCTGAAATATAAAGAATTTTACTTAAAGTGTTGGAACTAATGTAGTCAAATAAAGCAAAGCTTTAAATTGTCTGGAAAAGGGTGTGGTTAATTCTGTGTATTTTTACATTGCTGAAAATAACCAAGAATTGTATTTGTTATGTACCTCCATTCACTTAAAACTACAGCTATTGAAAGCAACTGCTGATCCTGTGTGATTTGAACAAAATAACCCTTTAGCTAATGTTGCACTTAATTATTGTACTTTTTACCTACCAACTGATAACCTGTGACAGTTTCCACCCATTCTGAAAACAGAATTTCAGCACAGAACTGAGAAAAATGGAAAAAAAATAGATGTGCTGAATTGCACACAAGTGGAATTCATGTGGCTGCCAGATTCATTACACTTCATCAGTTCTGGACTCTTATAGGGACCATTCCATCATGATGAATTGTTTTGTGGAAAAATGGCTTCGTTTGAAATATCTTCTGTGGTGCTGCAGACATTTCTCAGCAGCACAAAAAAAGCCTGCACACACACGTGTTCTGAAGTTTGCTTCCACATTCGTTACCCACAAAGAGGTCACACGAAGCCAGATTGCCATCAGGGAGTGAGAGGACAACAAAAGTGCTGTCCCCTTGGACCGAAATTGATAGTTAGATTTCTGAGGCTTCTGGGCATCATTGTCTTTGTTTTCTTCCTGGTGAAGGTAAGGAAGAATATGAGATCAAAAATGGCCCCCCTAAGGGTCTGATTCTGGAGGTTGTCTGAACTGTGGGGAGACCTGAGAGGGCCTGGATGCACTTTGAAAATGAATGAAAGTCCATCATGGGATGTCCAGGGACTGATTCTGTGACATTGCACACTATTTGGTTCTGTATGATTTCATACATTTCATATAAGCATGCTGTTCGTTTCAGAGGCACATACCAACACAAACTGCAGTAAGGTAGATAAGTTCAACCTTGCTTTTTCACGTATTTTAATTTTTGTTGTAGTAAAGGACTATGTATGCAATTCTTCTTCTCCAGCCACTTCCTATGGCAAACGCAGGGCTACAGGGATGTGAGAAGTCATGTGGGGTCTCAAACCCTCTTGGTAAGACCACCTTAGATGCGCCCTTCCCCCTACTGTTGTGGATGGGGTCACCTTTTGAAGACCTGTTGCAAGCTTTTGCATTGAGTGTTTGTTTGGGAAAGTTGTTTGTGACAGGTAGGGTGGGATGAGAGCAGAAAGCACTGTGGCTGACAAGTCGGCCTGAAGGGCTCCTTGATTACAGCAGGAGTCCATTTACTTCCTCTTAATTCCCACCACGGTCAGCCAGGCTGGTAGTTCTGGCCTGCAACTCTAATCCTGTTTCACTGATTTGATGGTAAAGATCCTGTCGACTTCAGATCTGGATGGTCAGGCCTCCAGATGAAGAGAGCAGCAGCAAGAGTCTCTTTGTGGGAAATTCTTGCCAGTTATGTTGGAGGATATATTGGTGTTTGGAGTGAGATGACTCACTTTAAACTCAGATTTTGGGTAAAGGAGCTCTTTTCCTGGCCAACTCATATCTGACTCATTTACCACTGATGAATAAAGGATAAAATGCTCCTGGCTAAGGCCCATATTAAGTATTTCTATTTCTTTCTTCTCTCTTTCTTTCTTTTCTTCAAGTGACAGTGCTGATTACTTTTTTACTTGATTTTCTCTGGCAGGGTAAATGAAGAAAAACGTGAAAAGCTGCTATGCTCTTGGTGTTTTATTTTACCAAAGCACAACTCTGCATTTTAAGGTCCAATTGAATCTTGATTATAGACTTCAGAAGAGAACAGATATAGAATAAAGGGTTTGTGGATAGGAAAGAAAACATGCATGATGCTAACACAGATTTAAATACAGATGCAATTAAAGGAACAGGCATGCTCTATAAAACATTTCTAAGTACCAAAACTTTAGTGTGTTGATAACTGTTTATTCCCTATGTGAGATACAGATTTAGCTGATTAGAATTTTGCTTTGGCCAGACATCTGTTTCAGAAATCGTGCTGTGAAAATACTCAGTACCCTGCTGTCTCTGATACATTAGAGCTTCTGGATGTTTCTTCTTAAAATGGAAAAAAGAAAAGGGTGTGGAGGGAGATCTCTTGCACTTACTATTTTTACAGGAAACAGTAAATCTTGAGAATGACATTTATCAGAATTTGACTTTATGGCTCTGATTCAGCTGAGCGTAGATTTTACTGAAATGGAAATTAAAACAAAGTGTAATTTTTACTCTTAATGTTACAGAGCTACTAGTTGCAGTTTCAGTCACATTTAATTATGTTATATACTAGAGCAACTGGTTGAATCATGGGATACAGCTAACCACCATTTAGGGACACTCGCTGTGTTTGTATATCAATTCATAAAGCTTCACTTGGCATTTCATTATTTGGATATCTACCTCAGCTGTGCTGAGCAACCAGCACCTACCTGGCCATACCCCACAGAATCTACTTCCCCAGGTCAGCCTGCAGCCTTATCTTGCCCACCTTTCTCTCACCCTCCGGTGGTGGTTGCATAAGGAAGAGAACCAGGAGTAGAAGAGATTGAGAGCCAGCCTTGCCCTGGTGAGTTGATAGATTTTAACAGCTGTGTCTGACCCATCCTTTGTAAAAGCCTCCAGGGTACATACAGAGGCATAAACTTTTCAATACTTTTTTTAACCAGCTTACACCTTTGGTAATTGGTAGTGAATTCCACAGCCTCACGAGGCGTTGTACTCCTTTTTCTTTGCTCTAAACTTATTAACCAATAAAATCACATGGGAACTCCTAGTTCTTGTATTGTGAGAAAGAAAACCAGCGCTTTACTTACCCGTAATCTTTGACCATTTCTGGTTTTAAAGGCTTCAACTTCTCAAGACTCTGTATTCTTCCTGGTATGAAAATATTTTCTTACCTCTGATGATTTTTGCCCCTCTCCGTGCAAAATTTTCTTAGTCTTTAAGAGAGAGAGTAAGAGTTGCATGTAGGAGTTGCATGCACATGCACATTGGAGCTGGGCACATTGAGGATTTACAGTGTAGCTTAATATTGGGGATTTTTTGTTTCTGTTGCTCTCTGCCCCACTACCCTTAATTCCAGTCTCTCAGTAGTAGCCCTCATTGTTAAAACAGTTAAAGCTATCCTCCCCCGTTTTGGGTATTCTGTGTTTATTTAGCTTTTCCACTCAGAAATGGTGTTATGGACCTTAGAACTGACTAGTATTGGCACTTTGTCATGATCGGTAAACATTATCACCTAAATCTACTGGTAGTCAGTCTAGTCTTTTTCAGATACTCTGTAGAATCCCTCCATGGTGAATATTCACCAAAATTATTTTCTGTTTCCTACTTTTGATGGATTGTTAATCTATAAGAGGACCTTCTCTCATGTGCTGGGTTCCTCAGAGCACTGGGATGAAATTGTTGGAAGACTTTCTTTGTGCAGGGTTGTCACTTGATCCCTCTTCCCTAATTTCCTTCATAAACTTCTAATAAATTTGTAAGGCTTGCCATCTTTATAAGTGTTAAGACCTAACTCAAATTACTGTTACCTAAATGCCTATCACTACTTTCAATTTCCCCATAAAGGCTTACTGTATCTCCTGTGGTTTCCAAAAGGGGAACTGCATTTGTTGCCTTCTCTACCTCTTGCATGGATGCTGAGTTCAGCTTTAGAATATGCTCAAAGACTATTTCTTTAACAGCATCCTAATCACATTCCCCTGGAACTTAGCGGACAAATATCATCTGCTCTTAGAAATTTGGCAATGTTTGATATATCAGTTTGTTCTGGTGCTGATTCAGTTTAAGATAGTTCATCTGCTAATAATAAAATAAAATCTCCCTGACACTTCTCTAGTGAACCCAGATATAAATAGTTCATTTTGCTTTTGTGGTCTACCTTCCTTGATGCTCCTTTTATGCTTTGATCATTTCTTCTGATGTATTTTGAAAGATCTTTTTATTATTAGCTTTTATGCCTTTAACATGTTGCTCTTCAGACTCTCCTTTGTTCTGCTTCATTGAGGGTTTATATTTAACTTGCCAGAGTTTATATTTTATTTAATTTGCCTTATTTGGACATTACTTCCTCTTTTGAGAGTATACGTGTAGTTACTTTGTTCTGCTCTTAAGCTAGGATAGTTTTTACTTTTAGTTCCTTTCTCTTTGATCCATACTAAGTTCAAAATTACTAGGATCTCTTATAGAATATCTTTATACGCTCTCTGAATCATCTCCATGGTATAGAAATGTACCTCTTTTTTCCCAGCTCTCTGCTACCAGAGGATCGCTTTTCAATTACAACGATCTTCCCGGAGACAGCTGAGTTAAATTAGGAACAGATTATGGCATAAAACAGCCATACCGTGCCAGAAAATCTATCTTTTGTTCAGCAGTTTCTGTGACTTGGAAACATACCTTGAATTTTTAGTTTTATGTGTGTGATGATGTAGCTAAGAGGAATCTCTGTAATTCTAATTTAAAAAAATAGGGTAAGAGAAACATTTACTTTTTTGGATGATGTTCTGAGTTTATCTATATTCTTAAATATTAACTTTTTAAATTGTGGATATTGAGTATTTTAAATAATATTCTCATAAATAACATTTATTCTCAATTGCCACAGAACAATATTTAACATGTCACATGTTTTGCCAGATTTTATCCATATGGTAGGATTTTTGCCTCATCTATTTCTCTTGTTTTAAGGTTCAAACAGAGTCATTTTCTTTAGCATTAATGGCGAAGAGTCTACTTCAGTCTGCCATGGTCAGAATTGTACATATAGAGAGCTAAAGGTGAGCACTCTTCCCAGCCCATTAAAATCAAGAGGGCTCAGCTCCTAGGAACTTGCAGTTTAAATGAGCCACAGTGAAGCCTTAGAGAAAAATCACACTTGTGATTCTACAATCAGTACAGTCTCAACTGTTGTATTTCTGAATCTGCTGACCACATGGAATTAGTTCAGATCAGACCTGAACTCACAGCTGTGTCTCGAGGAACCAGTCAGAGCATACAATACAGGATAGGGGGGGGGTTGCCTATTTTATGTTTTTATGCCAACTTCCTGTCAGCTACAGAAGACTGACTGAATTGATGTAACTAACAGTGACAAAGCTGAAGTAACATAAATTTGGCCTGTCAGAGTCTACCCCCTTGATTTTTCTTTTGAGAACTTTTGATTTTGGCAGAATGGGTATATATTGATTCACTGCTCAGTGCTATGGGACTTAGAGTGTTTTTCTCCATATACTGAAGGCCCTGAAACTGTACTGGCTCTCACATAAAACTGTGGCCTAAGCCGTTATCTCATAAAAATACGTGTTTTTAGTGATAAGCCATTGGATAGATCAATGACTTCTCTGACACGAATAAAGTGAAGTTAAAGCATATACGTAAGTCTTCAAAAGGAGACTGAAGAAGGTTGTGAGAGTACCCACACTGAGAGACAACAGCTGGATTGCCAGGGCACTCTAACCTCCTCTCCTTTTCCAAAAAGGACCTTGCATCTGCCACTTGCTCATAAAAATTTTTATTGGTGCTTTCACTCTGGTTGATGCAGAATATTGGCCTATTGTTGGAATATATTGGAATATAGCACTGGATGTCTGAGTGCTTCCTGGCACTCAGAAGCACCCTTGTCAGTGAAAAATTTCCCAAGAATAAAGCCCTGAATAAGATCCTCTCAGTTGTACTATGGTCAAGAGAATGTCAGTCCCAGAAGCCAAGTACATGTGAACAGACTGTTGCATGTACGATTCCCTAAGTTCTTATAAATAGACCAAACTCCCATTCCCACTTCTAGAGGCTTCCCAGAGCTTCACTCCTTCCTGCTCTGCCATTCTCCAATTGAAGTCAATTAACAACTATTGCTTCTCATTTGCTTACTCACAGCAGAACCTAAAAACTAAGCTGTCACCTGCTTCCAGATTATCCTCTTTCCTTACAGACCCATAAGGTTCTGGATGTTTAACAAGGGCTTATTGCACTTCTGTGTTATGCCAGGGGATGTTCAGGTTTCCCAAAAGTGGCTGGAGAAAGTGGAGTGTATGGTCAGCACAACAGCAACATACACCATCTGTATGAATTCTCCACGTGGTGTGTGATGCTTTATCACACCTGAGGACCTCAGCAGCAGGCTGGTCTCCATCCCACCCTGGCTGCCACTGTGTGGTCTGTGCTGTAAGCCAGCACAATGCAAGAGGGTAAAAAGAGAGAATGCAAGAGGGCTTCACCTCACCTCAAAGGAATGAGGGAACTGCAGTGGTTACTGTACATAGGAAACATTCTCCACCGCGTGGTGAGGAACAAAAGATTTGAGATTTATAGATCAATAATCTTTTAGGTTCAATACCCTTTGTAAAGTGATTAGTCTGAAAAACATCTTCTTTTTCATATATCATTCACCTGACATATTTTTCAACATGCTAGCTGTGATCATTCCAAATCATAAAGGAATAAGCTGTATAAAATCATTTAAAGACATACTTCAGATTTTTTTCATTGGGAAAGACTTTAATAAATTCCAGATTCATTTAAAATTCTCTGGTCTCCTTGCTGAATAAACTATCAAAGCCCAAGCAAGCCCCCATTAATTACTTTTCTTTTCCATGGGATCTCATGTGTTTATGCTTTCTGAGGGATTTTTTACTGAAGTCAGTTATTATACTGGCTTACAAGATTATCTGGTAAACACCCCATTTGTTAATTTACATTTACTTTTTGTTCTCATTTCATAATTACTTGAAGTTATTATTTTAAAGGAGTTCTTAAACTCATGTATCATATGGTATTCTGACAGACTGATGTGAAAAATGGTTTCTGTCCAAATTCTTTGCCCTTCAATAGTGAGGTCCTACTGTGATCTCAAAAGCTTTTCATTTTATAATTGCCATGATATTCCTCAGGTGCAGTAGTTTGTCAGATACAAGGAATTACAAGACTTTAGGCCAGGTCGTCATATGTGTCCTCATTATTTTCCTATTGGTTGTCTTAGAGAGCTCATCCTGCCTAAGCTGAATATTTCCCAGAAGTTTTCAAGTAAAAGATACACATATAGTCTGATTTTATATTATAAGAGATACCTTCTCTATGGTAGCTATCTGCTGATCAGGTTCAGAATTTAGTCTAAAAAGTTGCAGGCAGGCAGGCAATGTGTTTATAAAAGAACAAAATCAAAAATTAAGAGACTGGAGAAGAACCTCAGAGGAAACACTGCTCACTACTTGGTTACTAGTGAGCTATTTTGCTTTAATGGTATGGGCCATTAAAAAAAATAAATGCATGTATTTTTGGTTGCAAAAGCTTGTAAAATAAAGTATCACAGCTTTTTTTTTCATGAAATTATTTGATTCTATTGACACAAAGCATGTACGTTTCTGGACAAAAAGTTATAAAATATTCTGACATATTTTAATATAAACAGGAACATTTTTGGTGATTGCTTGGATCTAAAATGTTTTTCCACTTGACATTTGTTTATACTTCCTAAGAAAGAAACTCTATTTATGGATAACTGAATAACACAAATAAACATCTGAGAGAGCTGAAAAATCAGCTTTGATTATGCATGAAAATCTACAATGTCATTGTGTACTCTTGTGCTGTATTCTGATTGCCTGTTTATTTTTACAGAGCTGCTGGTGAGCCCATGGAAGAAGAGCCAGCCTTGTGAAGTGCCAAGTCCTCCCTGATATTTCCTGTGGGTGACATCATTGTGTATCCCCCAAAGCACCCTCAGACATGTCTTGTCTGCTTCTTGGGTGGCACAGATCAGATGGAACATAAACACTGGGCACAGCACTCTGAATAGCAGCTTCACTTGTTCTTTGGATGGACTTGAAAGAGCCCAAAAGATTCCTTAAATGTAACTGCTACAATTCTAGAGTTACAGAAAAATGGGCTTGAGAGAAAGAGCCTAGAGCATGCTTTTTATATGCTGTTTGACCCACTCACCAACAGAAATTGTGAAATAGAGTATTGCAAAATTCTACATGATAGATCATAGATATGAGAATTGCAACAGCCAGCAACATACTCTGTGAACTCCATGACTCACTTTCTGACACTTTTTACTGGGTAATTTTTTTCATACTGTGTTAAATTGTTAATAGAATTTGTTTTCTTTGCTCTGTTTCATGAAGAAAAATCTCCACCCTTATTTTACGTGCCAATTTTTAATCTCCTGTAATGAATTCTTAGCTGAATAAGTGAAAAGTGTTTAAATTATGACGAGGGATTTTAGATAAAGGGAAAGGACTTTTTCTTGTACTATAAGTCCCCCGAAGTAGTGTGCTTGGTGGTGCTTTATTTTCTCTTCCCTTTTCCTGGTCATCCCTCCCCATTTCATGTAATCTTTTCTATCATAAAAACACATCCACAAATCTCTAAAACAAGCGATCTTCTGCCTTTAAAAAAAAGTGCTGTACCCTCTGTAGTTGACAGTAGCGCTCACCATATGTGCAGCAGAGATCAAGTATGGATAGTTTTTCAAATGTGTTTTTAGTTTGTTCTGAAATGTTTCTGCGTTCTGACTCCAAAGCAACGATCTTCAGTAACTGCGTGCAGCTCATTTGAAGCTCAGGTGTTTCTGTGGAGGTTGTGTGGGGTGTTTTTTACAGGTCGTGACGTGAATATGAACTGATTCTTTTATGTAGTCCCGCACCAAGAGACTGATGTTGCTTAAGAAGCTTCAAAGGGTTTAGGCTTTATTTTAGATCCCCAAAGTGCAGCAAGATCTCCCTGCAATGTGACTTCAGCTGTTTAATTCCATGTTTGAGAACGTTACATAGAGTTGTGCCTTTAGCTGATAATGAACGCTTAAACTGTTACACGTGTTGCCTTACCGTCAGAGAAAGAGATAGGGCATGTATGTAAGAGTACTTCAAATGAACAAAACTCTGCTACAGTAACTTTTGTTTTGTTTACAACTTTCTCACTTAATGAACCCCAGGAGAAGTATTCAGCTTGCAGTATTTGATAGTTTGCTCAGCTTTTAAAAGAAAGTGATGTTCATTTTTTATATATTTTCCAAATTCAAAAAAAAAAAAAAAATTAAAGCCATAAGTGAAGACTGTCATGCTTTTTATTCTGAAATCTGAAAGGAACCTTAATTAAAACAAGATTTTGGGGAAGGCCATGATATGAAAGATATGGAACAATATGGTTTCAGTTATAGGCAGACTCAAACCTGTAAATCAAAGATGAAAGATTTCACTCAAATAGAATTATATAATTCTCTTTTGTTATGCAGTCAGACTATATCTTTCATGCATTTGGGTTTGTTTACTATTAGCATTTTAGTTTTAAAGACTTTTATTACTTATACCAAAGCTCTCCACTACAATTTAGAAATCTGAGGCATGCTTTGAAAAGGAAAATCTAAAAAAAAAAAAAAATGTCATTTCCTATAATGAGAAGTAAACTTTTATTCTGAAAGGTTTACTCTAAAATGTAGGTATACCCCTTAGAAAGGGAAATAAAATTCTGACCCTCAAAAAGTGAAATAAAATTCTTCCCCCACCCCCCCCATTTACAAGCCAAAACCATGCTTGTTTTAGTAACGCAACGAGTCCCAGCAGGCTAAATTAACTCCTGGTGTAAGCCACCTTGCCTGATTTCAGGCTGTTCTGAAGGGGTTGTTCACATGACTAAGGCAGTGAGGAGTTCATCCTGCATTTTCAGCAGACTCGTGATGGCAATCTTACTTGCCATTTTCTGCAGCTTTGTTGTGATCATCAAAGAAATTTCCCTTCAAGAAAACCAAGGACTACAGCTGATGAGATGGGTAACTTGTAGAGCTTTTCCCATTTTGAAATAATGGCTGCAAAGTTTTAATTGAGTGCATAATAACATCGTTTAAAAATTAATTAAAATGCAAAATCTGATTGTGTCGTTAGCTTGCATGAAACTGAATTCCAACCTGAAATGTGAGTTACAAGCTTTTCAAATCAAAGGCTATATTCTGGGTTGCAAATCAACTAAAGCTGTCCTTTGTAGCTGGAAATGCTTTTAAAATGCCAAAATAATTTGAATTAAACCACATTACAAACTCACAGTTATACATTCATACAGATGTAGTCTCAAACAGACATCTAGACATACTATTGGTTGAAGTTAGGATCGTTTGGATAAGCAAATGTGCAAATAAACTACACACAGATTGTGTCCAGAGCTCTGTTCTCACTAAAGTCAATAGCAAAATCCTCTTTGATTTCAATGGGAGATGATCAGGCTGTGCTTTTTTTTTTTTTTTTTTGTTTGTCCTTTAATTCCGGAGAACCATTACTTTTTGATTATGTCATTACAAGGCACCATACAGCCCTGTGGGAAATGATTGAGGCTTATGGTGAATATCAACACTTCCTTCAAAGCAGACCTGGACTTTCTGAGAGGGCAGTTTCACTTGCTGCTGTTTTCTTCTCACAGTATTTTTTATTACCATCAATAGCTCCCCATGGATTAGAGTTAAAATATCTTCCAGCAATTTTAGTCATACTTCCAGGGAAATATTCACATAGACATTCTTAAAAACGACCAGTTTTAACTGGATTCAACAAAAAATTGCAAGCATTTCAGAAAGATGCATGAATTACGTGTTTCAAATGTCCAGATTCAGAGGCTAAAGAACTGTTTTTGAGGAGACATCAGTATCTCATGTCTCCCATGGACATCTCCCTTAGGCTAGAGGGATTGACACCTCTGAAAATTCATTCCCAGATATTTCATGCTGGCTGCCAAAATATCTACCTTTGAGCTTAGATTACATCTAAAAATGAGCTAAAATGCATAAACAAGATGGGAAAAAAGTTGGTTTCTGTGTGTGATTCCATGGAGAAGGTGAAGCTGAGGAGGTGGCAGAGAGCATTCGGAGCCAGGGTGACCCTGTGTCTGGTGCTGGTGGTACAAGGGCTGCAGGCAGGCAGAGGGACATCCCACAGAACCCCCACCCCAGGCTCACAGGGGAAGCATGCAGTCATTTGCACTCTACCCCGAATCAAGGTGTCCCTAAGTCACCAACTACCAGAATGAGAGATGCCTCAGCAGCAAGTACCACTAACATGCTTGCTCCAGTTCACATTCTTCTCCAGTGTTAGGGACTAAATATTAAGATGAATGTGGCTTTTCTTGTATTGTTATGCTTTTCCTGTACTTTTAGGTCATTAAATACTTTTTTTGTATTCTTAGGTTCTTCAGTGTGTAGTAGAAACTGAAAACTAAAAGAGATATGACTCAGGATGTGAAGAAAAGAATTAATTTTATCCAGCTTAATGCTCTTACCTGGGCTGCAGTGAGAACAATCATGAACAGCAAATCTCAGAACTGCTGTAACCTAAGAGTTTCTTGCACTTCTTTTTTGGATTCTGTGTGCAGGAATTCTGTATGTGCTCATTTGGCTTTAATATAATCTGCAGCAATGAAGTGCTTGATTATATGATCCCTTTTCAGGCAACATTCTTAGTGAATAATCAAAGTTCATGGGAATTTTGCCAGTGTAAAGATAACAGAATTATTCCCTTTTTTAATCATGTACCTTCCTAATTTTACTTTCAGTAAAAATGAAACAATTAATTCCAAGCAAGTGAATCTGAGAAAAGTAAAATCATTAAGCTATCTTAAATAAATATAATAAAAGAAAAAGAAAATGTTATGCAAACAAAGACGGCTATTCCTTTACTCTGCAAAAAAGTCAACAACATGCTGCCAACTGAATGTAAGTAGCAAAATTAATCCCTCTCTAGAGTATGTGGTATTTTAGTTGGTGTCTTATCTCAGTGCAGCCTCTCTAAAAAGCTGAGAGTCATAACCGGAGATGAAATATTAGAAAGGTTATGCTGCAGCCAACACCAGAGGTCCTGTAGAGAACAAGAATGTAGAGACTAACTAATTTTTGTAGACAGACAGCAGGACACTTTCAGGGCAATGTGTCTGGGACAAAGAATTAGAGGGAACTTTTCCAAAGGCACTGATGGCTGTGAGACAACTAACTCCTATTAGCTTACAGGAGCAAGGAGGTGCTCTGCGAGCGTTTATTCTTTGGGAAATGCCCCCTTGTCCCTCAGGCATGCCCACACGCACGCAGACATGAAGCTTGCTGTACTATTTCCTGTCCTAAGTAGCAGCAGCAGCAGCAGCAGCAGCCAGGTGTGCTGCCCTGCGTGTATACTGTGCATTTGCCTGAGAAGTTATCAACCTCCAGCAGACACTTCATAAGGTGACTGATAGGGGAAATTATTTTTTTTCTCAATAGTGGCCTTTCCAGAAGCATATCAGTGCATGGTGGTTTTATTTTTAAAGGTCACAATAGAGCTTTGTGAACCATTGTACTTTTTTTTTCTTTTTTTTTTTACAGACTCTGTATGGAAGTAAAACAGAATATATACCTGGGGAGGGGGGATGTAGTGTGTGGAACCTTCCAGGAAAGAATTTCTCTTAAATCAAGTTTCTTCTACCTGCTTTTCATCCTGGATTTGAAGGAGTTTGTGTTCTAAATTGTCATTCAAGATTTTTCTTTGTCATGTCACTTGCTTCATTTTTGTACCTATAATTGAATCCTCTTTTGTAGCACACAGAAAACCACACAAAAAAAGTCTGTCTTTTGTGACAGATGCCCCTGCCTTTGTCACTTCTAGCAGCAATTAAATGCTTTTGTGACAGATCCAAACTGGAGCAGTATTTTAAAAGTACAATTTAGCTAGCTGTCTGCTGACTGTTAAAAAAAAAAGAAATTGTGAAACTTACATTCCTCTCAAGCCTCAAAAGGAACCCATTTTGATTTTAACAATGTAATATTTTCACTTGATCCAAAAGAGTTTTGTCCCATGACATCTTGTTGCTAGCTCAGTTTTAATCCCTAGTAAGTAACACCACAGAGGGTGAAGACCAAAAAGGATGTTCCAGCAACAATCAATTATATGTCTTCTGCACAATCCTTCACCCTGCTCTGTGATTCAGCATATTAAAATAGGTTATAGCAAAATATAAATTCTTCTGCACCATCAAAGATACTGCTGTTGGGATGTCAATTAGCACACTGTGAGTTGGGCTGTAATTTATAAGGGCCGTAATTTATACGGAAGCCATGCTTCTGTGTGGATGTGTGAAACCAGTGGCACTGGTGCTATGCAGTGAGAGTGATTCTGTGCTAAGATCCCCACATATTACTCCCTTCCGATGGTGTGCCTGCATGGCCAGAGGCACATTGGCAGTAACAGAGCCATAGGATGTCCTGGTTCAAAGAGCAATGAAATCCCTCCTCTACCAGGCTTTGGGTTATGTCTGGGAGGCAGCTAGAGAAGAAACCTGAACTTTGCAGTCAGCCACACGAAACTGTAAACAAAACCCAAGTAACAGATCTAAGCTTGGCCACATGTACCTGTTTCTGATACGAAGTGCCAGTTCTGCTTCTAGAAAAGTCTGTCTGAAAGAACACTGACAGTAGTGGATCTGTTCTATTGGCTTCACAAGAGTGTAGATGACATGTCTTATGGGAACGGTTCACATGTCTCTTGCTGCATAGTTTACTGCTATTTTAAATTTAATGATTGGCTTAATATTCTAATTTAGAATGCAGTAGGAAAGCATAAAGCAATACCTGGTGAACTCATAACTAAAGCTTTCAAAGCAAACTTACTGCCGTTGGTTTTTACAACACTGACTTTTTGGTCTAGGGATGCACAGCTGAAGTGTCTATTTTTTTCCTTGGGAAATTGATGTTGCTATCTGTTTCTACAATAAAAAACAGTCCTTTTGCTCAGATCTCTAAAAGTTTATCTGTAATTTGTCTTTCCAGGCAGAGCAGATTCTAAGGGATAAAGTATCAGTGGGAGTGACCCAAAGGACAACATTTTCAAAGGTTAATAGTAATATTTCCATGAGAGTAAAAGGAACCATTGTTATTATTCCTGATACGTTTTTGTATCTGAAAGCATCCAATGAGTAATGTTAAGTAATATTGTGCTCCAAAACTTTGTTGTTTATAGATATATGAGCTCCGGATTGGCGTGAAATAGTCTTCAACCAAGTTGTTAAAATCCTTTTTGTTTTGTGTTTTGTATAATTCTTTGGCTATAGTCTTGTCCTAGTGTTAATAAAAGCTATTTGAAGTAAGCTCTGTCAATACTCTAAGGGGGTTTTTTGCCTTTTTTTTTTTTTTAATCAGTGCTAAAAAGAAGTAGAGCTTTGAACATGCCACCCTGGTTGGATCATAGGATTCTGACTGTTAAAATATAAAGGGGGAAGCATGGTGAAGCTGGAGTGCATAAAAAAGGAACCACAAATGTTAATGTAAAAGTAATGTTACATACCAGGCTAAAACACACACAAAGCAGAGCCCCGGCTCTAACACCAAGCTCCTATTCTATAGTTCCTTTGGCTCATTGTCCTGAGGCGTTGCAGAACACATAATTCTCCTCCCAGTGAAGCAATTTAAATAGTACATGCACTGTTTTGAAAGCTGTAAGGCCCCTAATTTGTGGGAGGTGGGGAGTACCCAGCACGTTGGAGCAGCACTCTGGACCACGGTATTGCGCCAGCCCTGCTGCTGTAAAACTGTTACCCTGATAGAACAGACCTGGTTTGAGAAAGACACCCCACAAAAGCAGTGGAGTGAGGAAGAAGTGTGTTTACTGTGAGCACATTTTGATCACTTGCACATTGACAAAAGTAGCTCACAGACTGAAATTGCTCCTGTGTGTGGAGCCTCATACACCTGAACTTTAAAACTGAGTGGGAAGGAGGGTAGCTGGGAAGTACAGGCACTTTGTTTGCGCATGGAAACCCCTACCTCCTGGCACATATCCAGAGCTGCTCAAGAAGGAGATTAAAACCAGAATGAAGCAAACCAGCATTCTATAATTTCAGCTTTTTCTTTTTTTTTTTTTCATTCTTCAGAATAACACATCTTTTTCTTTTCTGGGGAAAAGGACCCCAACTTGAGAAATACACAGCTCCATTCCATCAATAAAATACTGTTTGAAAATCTGAGCATGCAACATGTAATTTCCTTGGCATATTTCAAAGAAGTGCTATGCCCAGAGGATCTTAATCTATGCAGTCTATCTATCTACTTCTCTGCTTTGCTTGTTTCCTGTGATTCTATCGTGATAAATTGCAGAGCCCTGTGATAAATTGCATTCATCATGTCTTTCTGGCTGCCTCACCTGCTTTTTGTACATTAAACCCTCTCTCCTGGGTCTACTTCTAACATTCCAAGCTTGTGAGAGATTCCAGCTAGACACCGTTGCTGCTTTAAAATCAACCTGCCAGAATTGACCTTTCCTTTGAGATGTGGAGTGCGTTTTTGTAAACCTTCAGGCTAACAATGCTTCTAGGAATCTCCCGTAGGTGGGTAGGAGTGAATTCTTCCATATTCCCTCTCTGATGCTTTTTCACTTCTTCCCCTGGAGAACCTCCTCCCCAGGAAAAATCTTTCTTTTCATTGGCAGCTTTGAAAAGAGTAGCAAGGGTTGGATGGCTCTTTGTCAGAAAGGGTAAATAGTGAGATAGAACTGAATGAGCATGTGTTGAGCCACTTCTCTTCTTTATTTCTGTCTCTTTCCCCTGCCAAATAAGAGGAGGAGAATACTAAAATCATGGTTTCAGCATACTAGAGCTGCCTTTGGTTGGTTGATTGGTTGCTTTCTTGGTTTTAAAGAGAAAAGTTCATTTTTTAGCTTTGCTATCACAGTGGCCCAGGTACAGTACTTCATTCATAAGGCCTCCTGGAGACTTGTAAAATAAAGTTTCACAATTCTTCTTATGTCCTTTTCTGGGTTTGATCGTAAAATGGAGCAGGTTCAACAAAAACCCAAAATGAAGTTCTGTGCTTTACTAGAAGGCGAGTAAGAGCATGAGTCCAGGATTACGAAGTCCAGACTTTATAGTCTTAGCTTGTATGCTGCTTCAGGCTGAACTTCTCTGATCACATGTTACTGAAAAATTCCCGGCCTGTTATGACTGTCACATGAATAGATTATTAATAGATTATTAATAACTGAATTGAACATTCCTGATAAGATCCCAAATTACCTATTTTGTGGTATATTTAACATACAGACAACATCATTTTACAACATTCAGATGGTTACAGCATTTGAATGCATTATTCTTTAACTGATCTAATTAAATATTACTCTGTGATAACATTATTGTTATCAAAATAAAATATCCATCAATAAATCAAAGTAAAAGCATGCATTACAAATATTTATGTTTTCCCAAGTCAGTATAGGTTCATTTTCCATAATCACAGTACCTATCTTAGCTGGGACAGAAGCCCAGCCTAGCTGTGTGCAGTTCTACCAGACTCTACACAGGAGCAAAGAGTATAAAGATAACTGGGGTAATCTGTAATATTTTCTTCTCAACTTCTCTTGCCTTTCATTGTCTAAATTCTGCTCTCCAACTTTGGCTATGTCACAAAATCACAGAATATGCCGAGTTGGAAGGGACCCACAAGGATCATCGAATCCAACTCCTGGCCCTCCACAGGACCATCCCCAAAAGTCACACCATGTGCCTGAGAGCATTGTCCAAACACTTCTTGAACTCTGTCATGCTTGGTGCTGGGACCACCTCCCTGGGGAACCTATTCCAGTACCCAACCACACTCTGGGTAAA